AACTGAAATAAATCCACCAGTAAAAGTATTTTCTACCTTAATTTAAATTCAGTTTCTGAAATACAATAATTCAAAACGTGGCAAATTCATTGGTTTTCACTCGCATACATATAAAAATAAGAAAAATATTTGTCGTGTAAAACTAATGATGCTCATTTTAGTCAATCTAATATTGAAGGCAAAGAAAGATAATCTGTACATAGAAATGTTAGCACACGTATCGCGAAAAATGCAATTCATTTATAAAATATTGTGGTCCATTGTAGTTATTTCTTGTTGGTTAAAGACAAAATAGATGAAACTAGATGACAATATACTTTTATTGTGTTTAAATTTTTGTTTTCCTTTGAGCAAGGAAAATAAACCTGCCATGTACCTACACAGTACGTAACCCAGTTTTTGAATGCACAACCTTTAATCTACCAAGTTTAAATAACAAATCTTGGCTAAGTAGAAGATTCAGGAGTGATTACCAAAATGGTATGATCTATGTTCATTTACATAAAATCCCCATCCTACCATCTTCAGATTGAACAAAACAAAAAGGGTACCAAGCAGAGATTTTTAAAGATGGCTCTCACCTTGATAAAGAAAGAATAATCTGCATGGAATACTGATGGCATTACATTTTAGTTTCAAATAAAAGGGGTAGGATGTGGATAACCATGGTTGGGTGCGGCGGATATGCAAGGAAGGGAAAACATTTAATTGTTGTGTGCAGAAATTCTGTGATCACATAAAGATTTCATCACATAAGCAATACACCATTCTAAGTGCGAGTAAAAGCATCCAATTTCAGCATTTTCAAATTTACTAGTTGAGAATGAAGCAAAAGCAATCATGAAGCTAATAGTTTTTACATCACATAAGGCTCAAAAAAGGTATTTTTCACAATCTTCTACGACAAAATCAATAGGTTGTGGCAATTATCCTGTTTCACCACCTGCATGTGTGTAGATTGTCCATTATTCAACATGACTGGCAACACCTTAAAATAGTAATGTAATTTCACACGTAGGAAATAATCATTCCAAAACTCTGCAAGGTTGGGCATGTCATCCTGGCCACAGATACTTTCACTTTAAATCTGTCTTATCACGGGAAGGTACATAGTAGCAAGGTGTTCGAGTCAATATACAATTAATTTATACTATTTTTTCATGATAAATCTGTTTATGTGTAAATCAGTCAGTTACAGTGACTGCATTTCCAAGAAACTTGTGCTGATGTACAAGCAATTATTATACAAGTATTAAATCTGTACAAAAAGACTAGTAACTAAAGAACAAGTTAATACATTTAATGAATATCAAATTGCTTAAAGAGGAAAAAACAAACTGTTGCATATATCTCAAATGATATATTGAAAAAATGTGGCTAAGGACAGGTTGGTACTGCAATGTTTTTCACCTGTCAAAATGTATGTAAACAATCACCCTTGATTGATCAACAATGTTACGTCTTCTGTTACCACAGCAGACGACTATACACGTAAATATAAATGTTTCGAGTCACAACCTGAACTATTATGGATAAACACGACATTGCCACCATTAATTATATCCAATGTGGGGAATAGTGCACAGGGTCATTTGAAGGGAATGCCGGGGTAGGAGGGCAGGTGATACAATACCAAATGGGAATGCAGACCTTGCATAGCTATTACTACCAAACCCACAGCCTCGAGAGGGTGTGGTTGCGAATAAATAGCAAATATTGAGTGACATTGATGGCAGAGAAACTTTGCATAGTCATTGGCAAGGTATCAAAGACTGCGTTTAGCCGAGCCGAAGATACCATGTCCTAGTGATCGTTCTAAGATCATGGTCAGTTGTCGAGGTCTTCATCACCGGCAATTTACATCTTTTATTAACATGGAAAGGAGGCACATTGAAGTTCAAGACAAAGCTGCATTACCCGGTATATGCAACATCAGTACAAAATAATTGGCATATGGAGGGCAATTAAACCAAAATATTAGAAAATTGCTTTTTTTTTTTTTTTAAATTTTGTAGATATGTAGGATAACTGGAATCGAGTTAAAAACATTTGGCAGACCATGTTCGCATCATATTTGTTTTTTTTTATTTTAGAGCAATTCCAAAACTTCCAAAGTTTGAAAACGTGCAAGAAAAATTGGGGAAGGGGGCCTGCAAACATGGGAAATTACTAAAATTGTGTTTTATAGTCGAAATGATTAGGTTAGAAAAATCTCTTATTTTCTTAATATATAAAAATAGTAAATTAGAAATGAATTTATAACTAGACATACATTTGGTTAAACAATTTGGGAAAACAATGTTAATCCTGTGTAAGTAGGCAAAATATTTATGGAAAGAATGCACTCATTTACAATTTTAATGAAATTAACGAGATAGTTGCAAATATAATTGTAACATTCAATATGGTAAACTAATTGGAGAGGGAGTTGGAGAAAGGGATATTAGTGTAAAATAAGGATAGCTTGGCTACTATTAGCACATTGATTTTCACCGAAAACATTAAACCACTGGAGTGGGTTAAATTACAGCGTTCTACTTTCCACCACTTCATATGGGAGAACTCAAAGTGCATTTCTGAAGGGTTGAACGACCCAATATAGGGAGAGAAAAAATGTGTTTTATAGAGCAGACCTTCGAGAAAAGGTTTTTTGCAACTGCACAATATCAACTTTTAGTTTACTTCCTTGGTAAGTAAGGTCTTATTCTGTCTCATAAATCTCAGCTCGTGCCGACAACTGACACCATTTAAAATGACTTCAATGTATAGGCAAGATTAAACTTGCCATTTTATTATAAAATTATAACATTAGTTTCAAAAATCGTACAGCCCAAACTTATCCGTGCTGTTTTTATTTCTGTAACAAATAAACAATCAATGCAACAGCGGATACAAAGCAGAAATCATGTACAACTGAGAGCAGAATAGTGTGTGTATTACATGTACACAAGTCAGGAGGTGAGTGTGCAGAACACGTTCCCAGACAGTATTGTACATAAAAACGGCCACAGTATTTCCCCCCAGTTGTAGATCAGAAATGATGAACCAAGACTAGTCAACACAGTGATAATCACAGTGTTAGACAATATGCATACTTTTTTATGCTGCATCCTTAAATATATTCAGTTTATTGCAGTGTAAAAATAAAGTTCGTCGATCACTCAACATAATATTGACTTCAGTGACAGTGATCAATATCTGGATATGAATATGGCCATCTGGTGGCACTTGTCCAAGATAAAAGCATGAGGCAAGAACTCAGGTTAAAGACAGTGATGCTGGTCCCACTGTCCACATATATAACTCAAAAAAATCTCCGAGCGTATAAGTTACAGTACCCATACTGAATAGCTTGAGAGAGCAAAAAAAACAAGCATTCTTTTTTTTTTTCATAATCAGTGATATGTTTGATTGTATGCAAGAGGATGACTATTATCAGACTAATCTAATGGGGTGTATTACAAAATTAATCAACTGTCAGCATCACAAGTTTTACAATGTATCCTGGAAATATTGCATGCAAGGGTTCCCGGCACCATCAGCAACTAAAACTGTATTAACACGTCATGTATGGATCAATCCATTTTGAGTACATATATGTACAACTATATATTCACATACAAAACTCTTCACTACTATAAATTAAGGAACAAATTGTACAAAAAAAAATTCATATATATACTGGTAAGGTTATGACACTGCTGATGGTATTTGAACTTAAAAACAAATAACGATAGCCATTTAAAAAAAAAAAAAGTTGAAAATAAAATAAAAATCACAGTTCATGTTTAAACATGCATGATGGGTGAAGGAGGTGGTCACACATTTATAAGTTTGAAATTTGATCCATGCTTTTTTTTTTTCATTCCTTATTCTAAGAAATGAAATCCAAGTATAATGCCACACATAAAGCACATATTAGAAATCACAACAAATATGGCTGCTAGTCCGCCATATTTGGCTAGATTATTAAGAACGATGAGGTGGTTTACTAAACTGGTTGAGAAAAATAGCTTTGAATTTGTTCTGCGAAATGATTTACAGACCACCAGTGGGATCCAATAAAAACAACATGATCTGCATATGACTGAGCTGATGTTGCGCCAAGAATCAAGTTGTTCCACGAACACCAGAAAAAAGTATGCATGCAACACGTGGACGGAACCCTACTCCATACCCTTAGCTTTTCAGCACACAGGAGGTGAACATATTTGTAGACTTTTATGTAATAATAAAGTAAAATTTATGAATGAAATAACTACGATCTCTTGAATATTGTCCAGTAACTACAACAAGTCTGAATCTAAATAAGTCACTGTACATTATATGCTCTGGCCGAAGGGGGAACTTGTATTGTTGTAAAAAAAAGATGTCAACCAGAGAATATCAAAGAAAATTTACTCTATATAGATACTTAGTATTAAGCAGTTACAAAGCGTACAGATGCAAGATATAACAATGGTCAGAACATGACCTAAGTATAAAAACAAAAACAAAGCACTTAACAAATTGCTATTACCAGTAAGTAGGAAGCCATACTGTATTCTGCATTATTTTTACAAATCGAACTACCACCTTGATGTAGTAATATCCTAGTGCTCCTTCACCCAGGCCATCTTTCTTTTGACCTGGGTCGACCATTTTTTTTTTAAAAAAAGGATAGAGGTGGTAGATGTAGTTAAATACAAAATCATAGACAAAAAATGAAAATTAATCCAAATTATTTAAATACATCTGCATAGCTTTTTTTTATGTGTATTGACCGTAAGAAAAAAAAAAGAAACATTCCAATTCATAGAAAATAAAACTATTTAGGAAATTATCAAAGTTTCTTTTCATTAAGTTATTTTACAACACTGGGAAAAAAAACGTTTGGTTCTGTATCCATATCATATAAAACTCTAATTCCTTTAGTCTATTAATTTCCCAACCATCATCAGATACTAATTTGAGAAGTTTAAAAAAAAAACCCAGATCATTTAACTTCTCATAGCTGTTTGCCATGGTGATATTAACAGTTGTTGAACCTGGCCATGATTTATTCCTGTAGAGATGTACAGCATAGATTTCGTTCCCACTTCTGCTAATGAATATTACACAGGCCAGGTGAAGTTTCTGTTGATATCTCAGAGTCTCAATTACTGGATAAACTTAAGGCATTAGTATTTGCACATCCTTCCATACTGTTCAATAGGCTTTAGTCAGGAAGAGCAGTGCCAAACACAAAACACCTGAATGAACCAGTATTCGCTCAGCTCCCAGAAAACTTGCAGGTCTTTGGGTATCATCAAGGTCAACATGTACAGGAATCCAATTTCTCTACATACTACGATATAAAATGAGGCAGTGGCAGTATACACAACATCACTAAGCATGAAGAATCAAAAACCAAAACAGGAAGCAGACAATTCTTCTTTTCTCAGTCTCCCTTCAATATACCAGAATGCCTTGGGAGACGAAGAGTTTACGGTTTAATCATCCTGTGATAAAAGTTAGCTTTGAGGGATATAAGGTTCACCTGCAAATTGTGGTAATTGTACATTCTGTTTTCAAGCATATATGGAAAGAATATTGCACGAAAATGGTACAGCACTGATAAATGCAACATCATAACATCTCTTCAAAGTTTGCCATAATGTCACTCTGTCTGTTCATATCAATAGCACCAGCCATCTGTGGAAGACAAAAAAAAAAATAAGTAAAAGTTATATTTACTCTGGTGTCAACAAGTTATGCCATAACAGAATCATCATCGTTAAATAGAAAACAAAATAAGTCAACAATTTTGAAACAACTGCATTGTAACGTGTTTGGCATGATGTATAATGCAATTTAATTTTGATTACAGTCTACGCATGTCAGAGACAGGGCCCCATATGTATATGTTAAAGCGCTATGGTCGCCACCCAGCGCGTGTTTGAATTTGGCATAAACAATGTATTTCACACAAGTTGTATACATCGCTATGGGTCCCACATTGAACACACTGTGCAACAACTGTAGCACTTTAAAACAAAATGTCTGTCAGTTAGCAGTTTTGAATCTGACCTGAAAAACAAAACGATGTGCATCAAGGTCCCATACTTGAATTGGATGATAAAACACATGCATATGTCTCCCCAGAAATGTGATATGATCAGCCAGACTGACAAAGCCTACATGCAAATGAACATTGTGTGAGGTAATAGCTTGTACAGCAGGTCATGGTGAGGTAGGAAAGAGTTGACCAATCCCAAATTTGTCCTAAGTTGAGGTGACTAAAACACAAGTGCTTTTCGGAATGGAGAAAGCCATGAGCCAATCCAAACAATTACTTACAGCTTCCCGTCGGCGCCTTTCTTGTTCTCTCCGCCTCTCTCTTTCCATCTGGGATTTACTTTGTTGTTTCTGTAATTCCTCTTTTTGTGTGTGTCTAGCCCTTTCTAGCGCATCATCTTCTTCCTTTTCTCTGTCAAACATGATGAACAAAAATTATTTGTAATTTAGTGCAAAGCAAAATTAGCATATATATAAAAAAAAAAACATTTTTAAAGGGGAGGTCTGAGCAAACAACATAATGCATCCAAATGAAAACAAATGTGAGAGAATGCAATTTACAGTTTTTCATCACTTTTCATTCTTTAGATATTCAACTTTTCAGCAAAGGATTATGGGTAAAGTATGGCATATCTGAAGTGCATTCAAGTCCTGTAAATGTACATCACATGTTTATTGCTCTATTAATAGCATATGCTATAAAATCCGCACATGCATTACCAAGTTCTGGTTAAGGAATGACAAGAACACTTGATTTTGATCATTTTTAGTAGCACCAATATGGCAACTATTTGGCCATTTTCAATGACAAAAAGAATGCATATGCCTGTACTTATGTATCCCACGAGATGTATGATAATATTTTGAAATCTGAATCATCTGTTAAGATATGTCAGAGACGACAGCTAAACAGCTTTCATTAGAACAAAAAGTCCATCAGTCGACCGTTTTAAAATCATGTCTGCGAAAAAAGTGATATTTATCAAGGTTTCATGCACCAAGTCCACCCATTGTTGTGACAGGTACTTAAGATACAACAAATGTAATTATTGATTTATATGCACTGCTATTTGAGATGCGTATCTAATAGAAGAAATATGACTTTTATTGCACCCCCCCAGCTAGATAAAACATCAAAGCTATCGTCAATCTCCTGATGCAAACCCCCTAAAAATCACATCAATGAGTAGTCCTACGTGTTTCCCAAAAAGTGTCACAATTTTGAAGTAAATAGACAGTAAAAAGGAGTAATATAAAAACAAACTGTACAAACAATGATTGTTGTAATATGTAAACAACCCTCAAGTCCAAATCTGAAAATTACTCTCTCCTACCTACCTTTGCCTTTCTCGCTCCTGTCGTATCCGGTCTCGTTCAACAATTTCACGTTGCTGTCGTCGACTCTCTTCTTGTGTACGTAATGCACGTTCCTGAAACAAATCTCAATCTTAGTAATCCATGAATATAGATATTTATCAAGCAGTTTATTGTTTGTAGCCAAGAAATGTTGACAAAAACTATTGAATGATGTCTTAGTATCAATTTCTAATGATATCTACTGTCATGAACATGAATACCACAAATTTAACAAATGCAATGCAATGTTTCAAATGAAATCATAGCAAGAGAAACAAATGCATTAGGATTTAAGCAAATTTTGTAACAAAACACCCACCAGATAATTGTATTGTATTGGATCAATAAAAACCTGTGATATATGGTGAAATATGTGTAGAATCAGCTCCTGATGAACAGGATCCGTTAAAGGTCTTCACTCAAAAAGGACCACACACAGCAGAGATGCCTAAAAAGAACAGTAACTCACTCTTTCCTCTTTTTCACGGGCCTGCCTTTGAAACTGTTTATAGCTTGTACGAGCAGTGGAATGCAGTACAGTGGTGGCACCAGAACTAACATTCACATCAGCTTTGGCAAGGTTGGACCAGGAACCAATGTTACGAATCTTGAAGTCCTAACAGAGAGAGGAGAAACGTATTGAAGATAAAATACACAACCTGGAACATTTTGGCAGCAGCATGGTTGCAAAACTGAAAACTGCCAATTTTTATAATTCATTCAAAGTTTTAATTTAATGACTATAATGATATGGGAATTCACAAAATTATTTTGCTCTGGCATTTATTTTATGAAGTTTTCATCGTGTTTGTTATCTTTATCATAGATTTAAATCAAGATAAACGTTGAGCTGTGACCCGGATCTAAGTGAAGAAAATCACAAAAGCCGGCTTTATTTAACATTGCATAGTGTGATATACTAAACAGCACTAATAAAATGAGTAATAAAATAGTGCTTTGGGTAGAATTTAGTTTTTCCTTGAGTGATTCATAGTAGAATTCGAGTTTATATGGAAATCATTTAACTGAAATACACAAATGTGTATAGTGTGAGATGATCCAATCATTGTCAAATAAGGCTACTTTGGGTTAGGTTTATGATACATGGTGCAAGAAATTTATTGTCAGGTAAATGTTTAGTAAAAAAAAAAACTATAAAAATGAATCAAGTACGTGATAAATAGTTTATTTCTTGACATTCACATGTTGTTAAGGGAACATAGTAACAGGTACACAAAGGTCACTCTGATCAAAGTTAAAAGGTTTCAAAGCAATGTGTGCCAACTTTGTATAAATATTCCAGTAACTGCTATGAACATGGTCATTGTACCAGAGAATTATCAAAGTTTAACGTATGTGTTGTCAATCATCTTTAATCTCATCATCAAACGATGTGTGTGACATGATGTATATATAAAGTTTTAATATGATTGGTTAAGGCATGGCGGATATACGAGTTCAGAACACTCATTAGGACAAAATGGCCATCAGTCAAACAAAATGATGTTGATCACATTATGTTATTGCCAAAATACTTAATTTTAATGATTTTTTAGCACAAAAACAGCTACTATGTGATGATCTTGAATTGGATCGTGAACGAAAAGATGCATGTACATGCAGTCCAGTACAGTCTTGTTTTGAGGAGAGAGATGCAAAGATGGATTGACAGGGTCCAACAAATACTGTGACAAATGAGAACAGAGGTGCTGTTTATACATGTACCATTAAGTCAGGGATATATGCATAGTCATGACAATTTATTGCATATAAGAATAGTACAGGAAAAATTTGTATTCTCAGGGAAAAAAATATGATTAAATTGCCATGGCATATAGGAAAAGTATAGAAAAAAATATGTATTTCTGTAGTTCAAATCATATTAATATATGTAATATAGGGGACATAAATTACATTTTATTTGAGTTGTATTTTGTGCAATAACACGTGTCAATAAAAAGTAGGTATTCATAAGGGAACACTAATGTCAGTATACATCACCAACAATTCTGGCTTTTTACCTTTTTTGATACAGGATGTACACTCTTTTTCAAATTCTCTCCAATACCTGGTGACGGGACAGCACCAACATTAAAAGAAACGCCTGGAATAATGAATAAAACATATGTATGTTTTGATATCTACATTTAACTAACAACTCCCCAGTCAATCAATCTGTGATGTCATTAACATTACCTTCTTGGTGACCACTAGATCTAAGACCTGACGAAAGAACTTTTGATTTTGATTTGATCCAAAGTACACAACTGGTCAACAACCAGTAGAGTGATATGACAATGACAAACATTATAATATAAACTATAGCAGTATTTGGTATTCTGAGAAAACTCAATTTCAAGGCCATAGCAAACACATTATTTGACATGCTGTATTCAAATTAATGTTTCATACGAATTGGGCGATCAAATTCAATCAGAGGATTTTTTTTTTTATTGTTATGTGTATGTAATGATATATCCGTACACCATTTTGAAAAATCCCATAACCGAGTTGGTTGAGTTTCAGACATTGACATAAAGCCGAGGGTATCTTGAAACAGAATGAATGTGTAATTTGCACTCAGTACATATATTTATTACTTTTCATGTATGGTCATGAGGGTACTGTACTGCTAAGTGGCAAAACGTGTTGACAACCTGTCAGAAATGAATAATAAGCATGGCACTTGTAAATAATTACTTTCATCTGGGTAGGAGTAAAAGTCACATTTGTTGTGCTGCAGTGAGACTTTCACGTCATTTTTATATAATTAAATGCTGAAGCTTCTAGAAATAGCCAAAATGAATAGGGAAGATTTGTGTCAACAGGTATTGTGTTAAGATATGCACCTTAAACAGTGACTGACACAGAAGATGAAACGTGTATGCTTCACACTATCTCGCGTTTGTATAATGTTCAAATACAAAAGACAAACTCTTTCAAACCCTTATCCTGCAAGCCCCATGTCGATTGGCATTCACCTTAATACCTATCATATGATATGCAAACAAAATTTGCATATCGTTGTTCTGATTGGTAGCTCTATGTTATTCCCTTTTTCAGAAATTTATAAGACAAGGGTTCCTGCAATTCATCTGACTTGGCAATCTGATTTAACAGAGCAGAAATACTTACCATGTCTTTGTGGTAGCTTATGGACATCAGGTTTCTGTTCAGACTTAGGAGGTTCTGTTTTTGGTGGTGAAGACCGAGATATCTCTGGAGGGGGTGATGGCGTATTACGATCAAAGGAATTGCTGTCCTCATCACCAACCATAAACTTAACTGCATCAGGCTCATGTGGCGGAGATGGTAGTTGCGGTGAGTATGCCTTGTCTTCTACTGGGCTAGATTCATTTGAGGGTTGCAAAGCTGGTTGTATGACAGGTTGCCTTGCAGGCTGTGACATCTGTTCCATTTCGGCATTTGAAACAAGTTGAGCCACTGCATGCGACATGGCTTGCGTTCTAGGGTGCAGTGCAGGTTGTATCACAGAGTGTGATGTAGGCTGTGTTACATGATGAGATGTGCGTTGTGACATTGGATGCGACATAAGTTCAGTACCATGTGATGTGGGTTGTGAAATTTGCGACGTTGGCTGTGAAATTTGCGACGTTGGCTGGGTAATGTGCGACGTTGGCTGGGTAATGTGCGACGTTGGCTGGGTAATGTGCGACGTTGGCTGGGTAATGTGTGCCGTGGACTGGGCAATGTGTGGCGTGGACTGGGCAATGTGTGGCGTGGACTGGGCAATGTGTGGCGTGGACTGGGAATTACGAGACGTGGGCTGTGAATTGCGCGAGGTGGGCTGTGAATTACGAGACGTGGGCTGTGAATTGCGCGAGGTGGGCTGTGAATTGCGAGACGTGGGCTGGGAATTGCGCAAGGTGGGCTGGTCAATATGCGGTGTTGGCTGTGAATTACGCGACGTGGGCTGGGCAATGTGCGACATTGGTTGCGTAATATGTGGAATGGGTTGTGGAACATGTGAAATAGGTTGCGTAAAATGTGATGTAGGTTGTGTTAAATGCTGTGTCGTGTGTGACATGGGTTGTGTAACATGCGACATGGACTGTGAGACCTGGGACGACATTGAAAAAGACATAGAATCTGATGTTGTCATTTGATGTGGCATGGATTGCATCATTGCTGGTGGCATAGTGTGCATCATAGGATGAGAGATGGGTTGAGTAATAGGTTGTGATAAAGCTTGCAGCAAAGACTCTGGTATATCTGGTATTGACGGTTGTATAGAATGGTGAGATACTGATTTTGATCCATGCGAGAGCTCTGGCTGATTCACAGGTTCCTTGATAGGCAGTAATACTGGTGGTGTAGCTAGTTTTGATGATGCTTTTGACTTTGGTGGTGTAACTGATTTCGTTGATCGAGTATGAGACTTGGAAGGGGTGGTAGTGTGACCTGCAAAATTCCAAACACATATAGATACCAAATTGAATAAAATATTGGAAGCACATATAACTGATCATTTATAGCAATAACATAATGCAATGGTTTTTAAAATAAGATACAAGAATAAGGGTATCGTGTACAACCCCCTGAAAAGTCACATAACCAGACACATCCAGGAAGGTCTTTCAGCAGCAAACATTTTACATGCATAACTGAGATCCGGGTCCGGAATGGTGAAAATGTGCGATTTCAATGCATTTTCGGCCTTAAAGTGGCCGCCATTTGGCTATCGTTAATGAGATCATGAAACAAATGCACATACATATTTGTGACATGATGTACCTTGTGTGTGTGAAGTTTGAACTCGATCAATCCAAGCATGTCTCAGATACGGATCCAGAACTGAATTCTTTAAAACAAATTGGCCGCCAGTCGGCCATTTCGAACCCGATCCAAAAAAAAAATGACGTGCATCAAGGTCCTATTATAGTTAATGTATGTACCAAATTTGAACAAAATCCGTCCATGCATAACTGAGATCCGGGTCCGGAATGGTGAAAATGTGCGATTTTGATGCATTTTCGGCCTTAAAATGGCCGCTATTCGGCTATCGTTAATCGGATCATGAAAAAAATGCATGTGCATATGTCCCATATAATGTGTGATGTATGAGTGAAGTTTGAACTTAATCGGTCCATGCATGTTCGAGATACAGGTGATCACGGACGCACACAGGGCAAAACATAAGTCCCCGTTTTCGGACTGCGTCCGAACGGGGACTAACAAAGTGTGTAACTTATTGTAGTAAGTTATCAACATCTAGCACTACTTCAGCGTCAAATCAGCGCCTGGAATTGCTGTAATATCCAACTGCTGTGCTTCGCTGGGAAAATAATTAAGTTACTATAAAATACTCTATTTTAGCTAAAATAAATTTTCACTGAAAAAAACTTTTTTTTGTATGGACGAGTTGAATGTAAAATATAGGAAATA